AAATAATAATAGATAATAATAGATAATAAATAGATAGAATACCCATAATCGTATTTGCTTCCAGGCGGTTGTCTCGGGAGTCACGGAACCAGATACAATATTCCTGCATCGTAGCTTCTACGATAAGCTTAGCATCAAAGAGAGAATCATAGGAAGCAAGTGCGTCAGAATAGATGTCAGTGGTAAGTGAGATCCCGTGAAAATTATACATATAATTAAAAATACTATGAACATAAAAAATAAAATAAAGTAATATAATTTAATTAACGTACTAACAACGGAAATCATTGTTTCCACGGAAAGGGCGTAACATGTAACTCATCCGACATTTGTCATCGACAGCTCTCATTATTAGTCTCATTATTACCCGACATTAGTATGGGATAACTTAGCACGCTTTGAAGCGGGCCTGGTCCACCTCCATTCGTGCGGCTAACTTAGACTTCGTCATAGACTAGCGCGTATTTAGCCCGGGATAGCGTGTACATACTGCAAATATTTAGCGGGCGCCTGGTCCGAACTAGTTTGATGTGGGGTCAAATTTGCAGTCTCTACGGGGTATCAGTGAAGGTAAATTACTATTCGATTATATTTTCGTGTGAAGCATAGCGTGCACATACCGCATTATGACTGTATACACCAGCATAGCATTAAACAATTGGACAAACAGAAACAAAGACGGACCCTAATGTATAAATATCTTCCTACCCAGTTATCTATCTAACTAAGATTGGCTCTTAGAATGATAAAACTGAAAATCACGTACGTCTAGTGATAGCAATTATTTTGTTGATTGCAGAGTCAGGAGGAGTGCGGGAAATAAAGACAGACGCTAAAGGTGAATGTAGCCTAGCAGACGAATCAGCTTTAGAACTGGGCAACATTGGCATACAGGTAAATCAACTAAATCTGTGGGAATACTTATCTGTTTCATACAGATGCAGGTAACGAAACGTGGCAATCTACAATAATTCGATATCGCATTTTCATTGAGCTTTGCATGGGCACATATAAATAGTATTTTTTCATTTCTATGTACGCAGCTAGAAACTGACATTACATTTTGTACAGGTTGAGAAATCGTTCTCTGACGCGCGAGATATAGAGTTTGCAGTAAAAGACGGGCAGATCTACCTGCTGCAAGCTCGACCAATCACGTCATATTTGAAATAGAATTTGTGTGAGACTATTGATTCTGCTTCTAGTTCCTGGTTCCAAGAGGATTTTGCATGACTGTTGCGGCTTACAAACATCATCTGAACGATAACAGGAACCTGTCTGCCTGCATTAAAGAACTAGAGGATGTTGCATAGTAAGTCTTTAAATAAATTTGAACACACTATTGACCTGGAGTAGTAATAAATCAAGAGAATAAATTTAAGCACGTATCTCCCACTATTATATGGTTTAGGTTCGTATCACATTGCTGGTTGCTGCGTTTCCGCCGATTGTAGGAAATTCATAAACGATATATATAAGCTAATCTGGGGCTTTTACATGGTTATAGTCAGAAGAAGAAAGGCAATCTACAGGAAATATCAAAAACCACCGTGGAGAGCTTCACAAAGACAAAGCTGAGTACATCGTTAGAGACGGCAGTCGTGAAACAGCTGAACGATCTGTTTAGCGATGAATGGAAACAAAACACGTTTGCCGTACGATCGTCTGCTGTCGGTATGTTGCACAGCTAACGTATAATATTACCATAGCAATTTGCATGTAAGCAAGACATCAAGCAATGTTCTTGCACGAAATAAAATATCGTGATTTTTTCTGATTATCAATGACAACAATTTGTTGTCTCTGCTGTCGGTACGTTGCAAAGTTAATACATCTAACATTGATAAAGCTAGTGGAATTTACACCAAAAAGAATTCATGAACGGCATAAAACATCGTGATTGATTTTTAAAAATATTTCTCACTAATATTTACAGGAGAAGATGGTAGTGAAGCCTCATTCGCGGGGCAAATGGAGACATTTCTAGGGGTCGCAGGCATAAAGGAGGTATTGATGCGCATAGATCGAGCCGTAAACTGTAGTAAATGAGTCATACATAACACATATATGCCCCTGCAGTCGACGATTATAGCGTTAGTAATCATAGATTAATAAGTTAGCCTCCATAAAGCATGCTGGCAGACCGATTTCAGTTTTGCTTACCAAAATTCTTGCGATACCTTTTTTCTCAGATTCGCTACGCTATAATAAAGTGTTTTTATTATTGTGTATAAACAATTACGAGTTACAAGTACCAGCTTTGCAGACGTACTTCACGTAATGACTGAGATCAGCTATATACTACATTTGATAATATTTGCGATACCATTTTCAGATTTGCCACGCTATCATAAAGTGTTGGGCATCCTCATTCACACAGCAAGCTGTTGAGTACAGGAGGTATGATCGTCTCACTTTTAAGAATATATTGGACTAAATATTAAACTATGAAAGCATCCAAATAATAAGTTACATTGTCGTTGACGTAGATACAACACAGTGATAGTTAATAATGAATCAAACTGCTGCAGATATAACAGCAAAAACTATTATCACGAGGAAACAAAAACATTACTCAATGTCTTTTGCATTGGAACGTCTTCCGTGCAGGAACCACGGTCAGGTTGTCGCAGCAGATGTTGGCGTCTGCGTGCAAGAGATGGTGAAGGCAGACGCTGCCGGTGTTCTCTTCACCAGAGATCCAGTGTCTGGAAACCCTGGCGTCATGTCCATCAACGTGTCGTACGGAATCGGGGAGGTAAATTGACGAAACCATCCCCAAGAAATCCAAGAAATTAAAATTAGAACAAAGGCGGGTANCGCTCTCTCTCTCTCTCTCTCTATATATATATATGCGTGTGTTTTATTTCGTTGTATGCACCGCAGGGAGATGATGCCGCAGGCGATGACACCTCTCACACTAGACGCGTTGGTCACTAACCTTGCCGGGTTGGGACAGGTATTGAAATTAACATGTGCTTCTCAACAGGAAATAACTCAATTTAGATTTATTAGCTGCAATTGTGGTCACATGCATGTGTGTGTGTGTGTGTGTGTGTGTGTGTGTGTGTGTGTGTGTGTGTGTGTGTGTGTGTGTGTGTGTGTGTGTGTAGGAGAGCAGAGAGCGTGTGTGTCGTGTCGAGAAGAGAGAGACGAGCGAGAGAGAGAGAGAAGAGAGAGGAAGACGATGGATGTGTTGTGTGGGTGTGTGTGTTGCGCCTGTGTGTGTGTATCGCCGCGTGGTGCTGTGTGTGAGTGTGTGCGGACGAGTGTGTGAGTGTGTGAGTGTGTGCGGACGAGTGTGTGTGTGTGTGTGTGTGTGTGTGTGTGTGTGTGTGTGTGTGTGTGTGTGCGTGTGTGTGTGTGTACAGGTTATATTTATTATTTGTAGGCAATGCGGAAGTCGTTTATTGGATTCGCTCAGGATTCTTACGGTGATGTGTTTGTTACAACATTCTGCAAACACTTTTTCGGTAACATGTACTCCGTAAGTGTAATATTTATTAATATTATTTGAGTTTTTAACGCATTAATTATTTTAGTTTTAAGTAACAGATTAGCGTTTTTACATTACGACAGTACGGATTGCGTTTTTTCGTTAACATTTCAAACGGGTTTACAGCGTGACTTCATTTTGCCGGTAAAAAATACTTCGAGATTCCTCAAGTATTAATTAAAATATCATTCATTATATAGGGATTGTACATGGCAAATGAGTATACCATAGGGATAGACACAAAATCTGCTAAGGACGAAGCTGACGTTATGCTGTTTGGAAGCCCGATAGGGGGCGAACACCTGACGGCGATCCACACACGCTACAAGAACTCTTATGTTCCGTGGTATAGAAAGATCATGGCAATTCTCCAGCTGCATGTCGTAAGTACTAACGAAATGACAGACATTTTTTTCAGCTGTAAAAAGTTAAAAGAACCTGACGAAGACTACCACAAGTCGAAACTAGTCGTTCATTGCTAATTCACTTAGCATTTCTTAACCTATGCTTTGGTTTAAAATTGCATCCAATAACCCACATTTTGAAACCACTTGGGGCAGCACAGTGCAGCGGCGTCCCGTAGAGGCCGTCCGGTCCGTTCATATAGTACTAATGAAATGATCTGATTTCCTTGTCGCTGCATACCAGCAGATTCCTCGTGCATGGTTCGCGCTGGGCTTACATTGCCCATCTAACCTTATTTGGTGTGTGGCGTGACGTCATTCACTCACGGCAGTCCTCCCCGTTGATAGAATACTCTCCGAACCAATCAGTATCTGCGTCGAAGCAACGTCATCATCAGCAGCATCAACACGGATTTCAGTAGCACTGACCCGGTCAAAATACACAAGGAACTTGCAGTAACACTCTTGTTAAGTGGCGAGGTACGTGTTTTGCTTCGATTACACGATAAATGAACATATCATTAGTAAATAACGTGAAAGAGTAGGAATAATTGCGTTCATAATTCTTGTAAACTTTTATCTTTTTTATTATTCATTTCGTCCATCTCTCTTTATCACACTCCTACTTCCCCGCTCTCTATCCAGCACGCGTATGCCTCCTACTCTCTCTTTATTTCTCTCTTTCTCATTCTATCTCTATCTTTCTCGCTCACTATCTCTGATTCTATCTCTTTATTAATATCAATCTCTCCCAGCTAATTGCCCCCATCTCTACATCTGCTTATACACTTTGTCATTAATCTGATTAGCAGATAAATTACAAGCTGAGCAGGGACATTCGGCGGCTCAACATATCAGCTTATGGAAATGTTAATTTCCGTTCTATAGGCTTGGAACTGCCATTCGCACGCCACAAATGCATCAAGCATAACCAGTAAACCTCCGCTTTGCCACAGTCTACTACTGCTAGCGCCATCTTTCGGAGGGCAGCTGGAACGTCTGCACTGATTACGTCTGTGCAGGTGGACAGCAGCAATGCAACATCGGACATCACTTCGCTGTTGTCTACAGATGGATTTCTCAAAAGGCGTTTGAGCATGCCTCAGGTGTCAGCGACTGGAACAAGGCGGTTGATTGGCTCAGATCAGACGAGAGCGACAAATTGAAGCAGGATTTTGCCACGTTCATGGAGATTCACGGACACAGATGCGTGCGTGAGGTAGATTTATTATCTTTATTATATTTTTTTATTATCATAATGAATTCGTTACATATTATTTGTATTATACAGCACTTAGTTAGGATTAATCAATGAATGATAATATTCTACTTATTTTATGAGAAAACTAACGAGAACAAAGCTCGTCGATATTTATTTTTCAGCAATTATAATCAGATCGATTAAAATTTAATTTGATAGATAAAGATTTGAACTATCGGGTTTTAACCTATCTGTACTTGTATATTTCTTTTATAGTCTGAGCTCTCAGAAAAACCATGGGCGGTTGAACCAGCAAAGGTCGTACGAACTATACAGGTAAATGAAGTGTCTGTCATCCGTCCACGCGAAACTGTTCGTCATAACAATCGTAGATTATTAGATTTTTGAAGAACATAATAAGGAATTTAATTTCTCTGTCATAATAATCACGTTTTTTCATATAGATTGTATTACAATTTATATTTAATAAAGCATGTTAATCTGAACTATACGTCAATTAAGGTGAGTCGCAGCATGGATCGCCGCATATTAGCAGTTGACTGCAATTGATGTTGGGTATTTTTCGATAATCTATGGCGAATATAATGAAACATAAATTTGTCGTTTGGTCGTATTTCTTATATTGCAACGAATCCGGTGAAAATATTTCCTTTATACACAACACTAGATGATACCCTAACGTGTTACATTGAATAATGATGCGTTAACACATTACATTTTGTTTGCACATTCAACGAAGGATATGACGAAGTCTGCTGATCAATTGAGGGAAACAAAAAAACACATAACAGAAGAGGAAGCGCTTGATAAGATTAAATCACCGATTGGTCTTATCAAAAAGTGAGTAATAATTTTAACCCAAAATTTACGTCATGTTGTAACGATGTGGAAACCACATACAAACAAATGTATCGCTGATGAGTTAGCAATGCTAGTGTGCTTCTATCATATCTGGATTTTAATACTCGCACGCGTACTTGTTGTCAGTAAAATGATATACGCGGCTAGACGTGAACCAAAATTTACTGTTATAAAAAAACACGCGACGAAATATCAATGTACTAAATAATAATTACATGTGAATTTGACAGAAAAATTGTGAGATTCCTTTTGCCTCTCTCACGATCTGCCGTCGGGCAAAGAGAAAACGGTAAACGTTTAGCCATCAAAGGCATGGATATTTTGCGGCAGGGATACAATAGACTGGCTGAGTTGCTCGTTCACGAGGTAATTCTTCCTACATTCCTCGCTATAGCCATCACATTATTAACGCAGTAAAGGCGTTTAAATGAAACGTTACTCTTGCTGTTACAGTACTGTTACTCTTGGATATACGAGTTCTTAATTTATTTACAGAAAGTGTTTGCGCAATTTACACAGCATTATTACTTCGCAACTAACTATAAAGTCTTACATCGTAATTCACTTGTAATTTGCTGAAACAATATGTTTAACACCTAATTTAGTTTTACCAAGTAGTAGAGCTCTTTTGCAATGTAATGGGTTTGACATATTAGGGCCGTCTACCGGACAAGGAGTTAATCTTTTACTTCACACATGACGAAATCGGAGAGCTTATAAAAACCCGATCCGCCAGGCTCATCAACAAGTTAGTCAACTTCACGTTCAGAAAACTTATTAGAATTTACCATGTGGTGTTTACCATACTACTATATAGTATATAATATATGTTTACTATTTTCAACGTAAAGCATTTACCTGTAACAAATATTTAAAGGCGTGCGTCAAAAATGTTGTAATACTACAATTTCATTTATTATTTAAATGACTAATCTAATGAGTAACTATGCGTAATTTGGTTCCTTAATTGCAATATTACAGAGCAATTCGAAGAAGAAAAATGATGCCAGCCCTGATGGCGATGGAGTTTCCAGAGCTTATTACGGGCTATCCAACGCCGGTATACCTACTAATACTACTCGCACCTACACAAGCTCAGTCATACGTACAATGCCCCGAGACCCCAACACATACAGGCGCACGAATGCACGGAATATAAGTAGAGTCAACAAAGTGCCAACGAAGTAAACGAAACGCGATTTCCCATTAGTGTAACATTGTCTTTGCAGTTGTAATTTTATTTATTTTTAAATTAGATTCTAATACATAGTTATATTTTTCAGGTTTCAGAAGATGATGCAATCAGCGTGCCTACGACAGGAGAGCTGAGAGGTAAGGGATGCTGTATTCCTACCTTAAGATTATCATATACCGTTTGTAAAATAACAATAGTATAATAACAACGTATTTACATCGTAGTTGTTTACTCTATAATGTTAACCGTATTTTCGGCGTTTAATTCATCACCATCCGCGTTATTCTGCAAACCAAACATGCGTTTTTATAACATGCTGTTGGAGATAATAATTTTTTTTAGTATAATCCCATTTTTACGGCCATTATAATAACACACTGTTAACGCCATACATATGTTACTCAACTAGAAATCCTGATATTTAAGATTTTTGTTCGATACTTTGCTACTCACCGTGGTATTCCTTTACAGTAATATATATATATATATATATATAAATTGTTTCTGGTGTACCGTACCTTTAATAAAATGTTACACAAAATTGGGTAAAGTTTTCTGGGGTCAACTTCTGCAAATTTTAAATAGTATATTTCGAGATCAGTATCGGTGTTTATTACGCACGTTTGTTTGATTGCAGGTATGCCCGTGAGTCACGGCGTTGTAAGAGCCAGATGTAGAGTTGTTAAATCACTGGAGGAAGCCAACAGAATTGAGGTAACATATAACATTTGAAATGATATAATATTAAAAAACAAAACTGCGTTCGGAACAACTATGTTTTCATCAACATGGTAACCATGTTTTCCAATCACAACGTTCAACGGCACTCCAGTTCTGATTGGAGTAACTAATAACATCAAGAAGATATGTAACACACAATTGAGTATGAAAGATTCTAGTCTAAACGTCAACGAAAGCTTGTCACATATACTAATTTCTCTTGCAGCAAGGAGAAATATTAATCGTGCCCTACACGGATATCGGTTGGTCACCTTACTTCCCCCTGGTGTCCGGTCTGTGTACTGAGATGGGTGGCCTCCTGTCTCATGGTTAGTCATATATATGGACGGGAGGGTTGAGGGGAAAACGGACGGACAAACGTACGAGCAATCAGACAGAATGACGTATACTAATGTGATATGACGTGTATAATTGAGATATATTTTATGATGCGCAAGCACCCAATACGACGGTACTGATAATAAAATTCGATAACACTTCAGGGGCCGTGGTTGCAAGAGAGTATGGACTTCCGTGCATTGTGTCTGCCAAGAAAGCGACGCACGTATTCAGAACAGGTATCACCTATTTTATTGTATGACTTTGACATTTATTTAATTTTTATTTTCAGTCAGTTTAACAATCATTTTGTACCAAACTTGTCAAGTAAATAAAATTTGTACGTGACAATAGTGGCCAGGAACTGTTTACAGATATGAAACCATACCGCGTAAGGCCGCCCTAAAATTAATTAGAAGGAATATTTGAGGGTTGTTGTTATGACGTATGTATACCAGTTTAAACGATAATTTAATTAACCACGTAGATGTTATGTAGAACTTGATTTCATTATATCGTATATTCTGATCATTAATAGGCGATGACGTGATACTGAATGGAACACTAGGTACTATAGCGAAAGTTACGCCCGAGAGTCCAGAAGAAGATGCCGTCGACATTCCGCAAGATAAATAACTTCAATTAGACGTTCCTTTCAACAAATGGGTTTGCTAACTGCCGGTTCGATTTTTCCAGTAAATATGTAGTGTGTCTTACCATTCGCAGCATTCAAATGTAATAGTTAATTTATGAATTAATTATAAATCTTTGAACTAATTAATCAATAATTTCGCATATTTAACGATAACTTGCAAAATCACAAGGTTGTCTAGGAAAACAAACACGAAAGCTATCGTTAGATATCCGAAAATTGTTTAGAACGTATTATACTGTTTACGGACCTTTCGGCTCCAGAATTCATAATTATTTGGAAAAGTGTGTATAAGTGTAACTGTTAAGTATATCTAATTAACAGCATCCATGATACGAATTGTATCTTATCTATATATAAACAAAATTCATGTACGTTCTACGTTGTTTAAATATTGTTTTTGGCATTTATGTTATCCTATTATATCAAATCTTCGGTATCACACTATAACGTTTGTGTAAGCACCTGGTGCAATGGAAGAAGCTACAACATCAGAGTATATAGCAAATTTGCTCGTAGCAAAATAAGAAAACATTACAGAATTTCCTTTTGAAACCAAATTTGACGCAATTATTTATTAATTAACATGTTGACTAAAATCTCACACATAACACCAACTATTTATTATTCCNTACGTTCTACGTTGTTTAAATCTTGTTTTTGGCATTTATGTTATCGTATTATATCAAATCTTCGGTATCACACTATAACGTTTGTGTAAGCACCTGGTGCAATGGAAATAGCTACAACATCAGAGTATATAGCAAATTTGCTAGTAGCAAAATAAGAAAACATTACAGAATTTCCTTTTGAAACCAAATTTGACGCAATTATTTATTAATTAACATGTTGACTAAAATCTTACACATACACCAACTATTTATTATTCCATCTATATCTTCGTATTTGCGAGAGAAGTTTATGCATTTAAAATATATATTTTTAAATTTTTTATATATTTTTGGTTAGAGTGTATCTCAGAATACATCTATGAATTAATTTTTCATTAGTCGACCTGTGTTTATAATTAGGAGAGCACCCTATCCTGTAGGGTGGAAAACTCTTATACAAATGTTGATGCACCGGATTCAAGATAATTATAGAGGCCGAATTTGACTGTATTTATAGTCTATTTTTATTTGTATCACACCAAGCGTCAGGGTAGCTAGCATTGACATATTATTCAATCCTGCGATTTCCTCTTTATCCCGATTGACTTGACTGTGCATATTCTTCATTACTCTGTTGCTTCTTCTTCCTGGGTTATATGAATAACCTTTGATATGGTGCCCAATGTTCCATTCAGTATCACTTCCTCACCTATCAAAGATAGACCGCTAGCATATTATTTGTATTTCATTATTATAACATCGATGAATGCATTGCTAGAAACCGACAATGATCACGAAACATTGGTATACACGACTGCATGCATTCAATAGGATTAGGCATCGTATTCGCATTAAAAAAACACAAAATGTAGATGTCAAATTCTGCCACGTTAGTTTCGTGAATGAGAAAACACACGGTGATAATTACCAACGCGTATGATGGCAAGCAAATCCGTCCTGCTCTATAACTATCGTTGATCTATTCACTACCCATGCAATTTAATTTATATTATATCATTATAATCTTACCAACTTAGTAACTAATAAAACCTACTGAATTAGTGTAGTACAACGGGTGCTACCTGTTTTAAAGATATGTGTAGCTTTCTTGGCAGAGACGATGCATGGAAGCCCATACTCTCTTGCAATTACGGCTCCTGAAGTCATATAGAAACCGCATGTTTATTATTACCGTGGTTTCTTAGTATTGCGTGTATATTATATTGAGATGAAATAGGTGTACCCTACTACTACGAAAAATGTTTTAACATAATAATACTGGGCATATTTGGGCTATCAGAAATACCTAATAAACGTATCTATTCATCCATCCATCCATCCATCTAGCCAGCCAGCTAGCTAGCTAGCCATCCATCCATCCATCCATCCATCCATCCATCCATCCATCCATCCATCCATCCATCCATCCATCCATCCATCCATCCGTTGATTCTTTTGTCCGTTAATTAATCTATCCCACTAACCATGAGACATCAGGCCACCCATCTCAGTACACAGACCGGACACCAGGGGGAAGTAAGGTGACCAACCGATGTCCGTGTAGGCCACGATGAGGATCTCTCCTTGCTACAAGAGAAGTAGAATCTTGCGTAACCATTTTGATTTTTTCCTATCCATATCCTTTCCCATTAGACCTCTGATTTATAAAAAGCTGTCACTACTGTGATATTATTTCGGATACCATGAGCACCGGGCGTTTTTATCTATCACTATCTCTGGATGTTACTTCAAATAGTCTAGCACTTTATAACATGGCTTTGGTGCATATCAAGTAATCAGCAAATATTTGATGATTGACTTGCGACTAAGGTATTTTTGTTTCATATTTTTACTCTTTATAAAGATGTTGTTACCTCAATGCTGTTTGCCTCATCCAGAGATTTCACAATTCTACATTTTGCTCGTATAACACCATGACTGACGGGCATACCTGAAACCAAATTAAGAAAAATCTGAAACGAACACCATTCTGATCCATCTGGAATAAATTTCGGTTACGCAAATACTAATAACACGTGCATTGATTAGGAAGGCAATTTGGCCTACATGGTTTTGCACTATGATGCCTGAGTGCTAGTAAAGTAAAGCTTGCATGCATTATAATAACGAATGTCTTACATTCCTGGCTGACATGTTCACTGATCTCTACATACTAACATATAGCTATATGCAGTTATATATAACATATCTAACATATAGTTAGCATCTTATAAAGATCAGTAGACATGACTAGAAATGCAACAATGAGACAAATAGCCGAGATATTAATAAAAACATGATGATAATAAATTTTTCACGTATTTCTTAGCCTTTTTTCAAACTAGTTTAGTTCGCAAAATAACGCTAATCGCCGAGAAAATGAAGATGTCGTTAGTGATGCGAGCTTATGAAGATGATCGCGAAGAGCTCCGGTGTGATGACGTCATCAACATTTGATTTGTCTTCAAATAGAAAATATGATAACATTGATGTAAAGCAATGAATCACCTTTCACCTCCCCTGTTGTAGGAACGTCTATCGTGTCACCATCTCCGATCTAAAAATCAAGTTAAATGGATTACCGCAGTTTAAAAAATAGATTCTATTATCGAATTGCTTTGGCGGAGAACAATTGCGAATTACGGACCAATGGGAAATCACCTATACACATTTTGTTCTATATACTAAACGTATTTGTGCAGATTTGCATGCACGTGAATGTACGATCGTGGAGTGTGTATGCGTCTGAGTATACAAATGCACGGTGGTGTATGCGTGCGTGCAGGCGCGTGTAAGATATGTTTGTTTGCTTGTGCGCACGTGAGCGTATTCGTATTGTATATGAGTGAGTAGTTTGATTGTAGCTTACCGGCGTTGGATAGCCCGCCATAAGCTCTTGGAACTCCAGTGCCATCAGGGCTGGCATCATCTTTCTTAGTCGAAATGCTCTGAAACAGTAAAAGAAACCTCTAAGTCAAGTATAAAATTATTAGCAAATTATGATACTAAGTACTGTATGCATGATGAATCTTTCAATATATGTTTTTTTTCGAATTTTCAAACACATATGATGGGTAAAACTCATATGTACTATTATGGAACTATCAATGATAAAGTAACTAAGTAATTATGGTTAATATTTTTACGTGAACTTGACTAACTTACTTGTTGATGAGTCTGGCGGATCGGGTTTTTATCAGCTCTGCTATTTCCTCGTGTTTGAGGTAAAAGATTAATTCCTTGTCAGGTAGACGGCCCTAATTTATCAAATAAATTATGCAATAAATAATACGGTGACAAACAGCTTTAACGCCTTGTAAGATCATTGTCAGTATAATGATATTGCTGCAACTATGGAACGCGGAAAATGCCGCGGAATTGCAAATTGCAATGACTCTTGTTAGTTGTTAGTCATAGACGGCAAAGTCGTACACGCTACACCTAGATGTTGAACACAGTAGACGCACAACAAAAGCATCAATAAATACACGAGTAAATAAAAAAGACATAAAAAAGCACCTCGTTCACAAGCAGCTGAGCCAGTCTAAGGTATGCTTGACGCAAAATGTCCATGGATTTGATGGCCAAACTTTTTCCATTTTCCCGAAAGCCAACTGCGGCTCGTGCATACGGTAAGAGGAATCGTAGGATTTTTCTGTCGAAAATAAATATGATAACCATGATTTACATTAAATCTGTTTGTTTATTACATGCCATTTAATCAATCTCTGTAGCTGAGCCTAGAAGATGGAGTAAAGTTTACGGCTAAGCTGAGCTACGTGGCGCGCCAAGATATCTTATGGATTTAACCATCTCCGTTATTATAGGTAATAACACGATTACACCCTGATAATAAATTCTTGTATTTCTATACTCACTGTTTTGATGGCGACCAATTCGTGGATTTAATGTTATCAAGCGCTTCCATCTTCTGTGCATTGCTTTTTTTGTTGTTCTCTTCAAACCTTGATCGATCATGATTTCGGTCAATTCCTTGTTGCCATATTAAAAACTAAATTAGTTATTAAAATACATTTGGTTAAGATTCATAAATGACTAATAGAAGACAAACACAACACAGAGAAATATAGAGCATACAAGTAACGAGAATAAGCCTAGAGCAAGATCCATCGTCAAACGCGGACAATGAAGGCGTTCAAAAAACACGGTTAACCTATACTATATATATACATATATATATATATATATATATAGTATATATGATTATATTATATACTATAGAGAGAGAGCAGAGAGAGAGAGAGAGAGAGAGAACGAGAGAGAGAGAGAGAGAAGAGAGAGAAAGAGAGTATACATCTACGAACATCATGTCTATATATTATAACGACCATATATTCGAAACACAAATTGCAAGCACTAACATTGCTTTCATACACGTATACTCAGGGTAGTCACTCCTAATGTTTATTGTTTAGTCCAACATTAATTGTATATTGTCATCAATACATGGAATCACACGTGAGTGATATGAACGCTAGACAGATCATGGCGGTATTTAAGTGTTGTAGTGACGTCCAGCCATTTCCCTCACCTGGTATGTGTTCGATACAACTGTTTGCTGGCCCTCCATTTGCCCACGTTTTTTCTGAGAGTTCGCTATATAAAAACAGAGTAAGATGAATGAAGAGGTAAATCTCAGAAACAAACTATTCCGAACGCATTTCGACAGTATTCTTATTTGCCTACTAGGATAAATAAATTTATATACGACTCCTCTAGGGAGGTTTCTCAGTATAAACCAAGCGAA